TTCTCCAATGGAATCCGGAAGACTTTGGCAATGTAACAGAAATCGTGCTTCCAGCTAAGAGTGTATGGTTACCGGACACCATTCTGTATAACGAGTAAGAATGACTTTGTAACTTTGCCACAGTTATTCATAATATAAATAGTTACTTCGTGCTGTGAATCTGACTCATGATGTTAAACAAAAAATTTAATTTCATAAGTACAGTGCGCTAAGAATCTAACGGAATATCAGGTCCATAATGTATGCATCCGTCTCTATCTCAGAACAGGTAAGCCTCGGTTGGTAAGTTGATGTAACGTTCGACTCAGAACCAAAATATCTCGGGGGTCGCCTATCTTTCTTTCTTATGAAATTAATAAATAAGTTCCACTCTAAGGGAAATGAACAAGAGATACATGCTGTACTTATCACGTAGCTTCTATCTGTTTTGAAAGAAGGCACTCCTGTCTAAAGGCTTAGAAATGGCGATCAGCGCTTCACCATTAACGTCATGAAAAAGCTCTCTAGGATCTCGTCAAGAAACGGTAAAGAAGACCGACATTTCCATAGTTTAGACTTCTGTCACAGAACAACGAGACCGTATGATTTCTTTCCTTTTGTTGCTGCCTTATGTCGGCTATTGACTAAATCTGCTCGTTTGAACTGGACAAATGAGGTTTCATCGATGCAAATGTTTGATGAATTTTTCCAAAAGGCACAGCAATTGACTTCCTAACTTCAAGCCTTTCGTGCATTAATTTGGTGGACATTGTGGTCTAATTTAATGACTGTTAACATCTGGCGTTTCGGACCAAGCTCGGTCAGAGTCTTCAGAGTCTTCAGATATATCACATTCTCGCAAATATTGTTGTCTCGCTGTAAACTCCTCATATTCAAAGGATAGACATAAATTGCCTGATAATGTGCTTTTCTCTGTGCATCATAACCTGCCGCGAAAGATAGTAGTTTTAATCATCATTACCTGGTGACTTTTCGCTTCCCTCGCACATGGGATAGAGGGGGCAGTAATAATTTCCTCATTCTGTGAATTTTCCAGCTTGATCATGAACGGAAAAGAGTCCGAAGGCCGAATGAGCGTGTCGCTGACAATGAACCGATCCGCCAATCCTCTAGCCGCCTTGGTCAAGCTTCCCTACCCGGCTATATACAAGTTTACGTGCAACATGGGGCTTCGATGGTTCCCGTTCGACCACCAGCTCTGTCGCATGATGTTCATGTCGCAGAGTTTCGACTCGTCGGCAATCACCTACAAGCTGCTGCACGAAAACCTGTCGCTGAGCAAGTACGAAGCCCATCCGCAGTGGACGCTGGTGTCGTCAACCATTACGACCGATATGTCATACCGTCGCTGGAACTCTGAACTGTACTCAACGATCGCGATCGAACTGCTTCTGCAACGAAAGCCGACTTACTACGTGTTCAACTTTCTGTTTCCGTGTGTCGTCGTCACCCTGGTCAGCATCATCGGCTTCTTCAGCGAGGAGAACATCCTCGGCCAGAAAAGACAGAAGGTTTATATGGGTATCAACGCGCTGCTCGGCATGTCCGTTCTGCTTCTGAGTCTGTCGAGCCACATCCCATCCACATCGTCGTACATACCGCTACTCGGTGAGTAACTGAGTGAATACGTGAGCAAGCGATGGAATAAGTTAATCAGCTAATGAGTGAGTGAATGGGTGCGTGGGTGAATGAATAATTGAATCGGTCCATAATTGTCTTATGGCATTTCACCAGTTTTCGTTTCCTGAAACATGTATAGCCTGAATACAAACGTGCATTGTGACGTTTTAATCCCTGAAAGGAGAGTCATATGCAGATTAGGTTTGTTTTCTTTTGATTGCTTTGAAGAGATCTGTAGTAGATAGCAGATTGACCGTGTCTAGTGAGAAGATGTGAATTTTATGGGATTTGATAGGGGCAGATGATGATCTTCGTCGCTGATCCAATTCGCACAGTGCTGCACATGACAACCAAATTGTTAGCCTCATTTGCTACCATGAAAGTAGAAATTAATAATGGTAAACCTTTCCTCATCCGCGTTAGTATTATTTATGATATTTCAGTAAGCGCTTAGCTCATCATTAAGTTCTCTGGCATATTTCAAATACCACCTGTACCTCCAGCAAGATTACTATTTTAATTCATGCATATTAAAATGGTTCTATACATAATTAAATACATTTACGTTTTACGGGTTGTGCTTCACACTGAATTATTCATTTATCAACCGACTTAAGGGAAATTATAGCCATAGGATGAAAGCATCGGTCAGCATAGACATGGCTGTTGCCAGCTATGACATAAGTATATCAGAAAACTGCGCTGTTCTGGTTAATAGCCTCTGACCCGTTTTTCAGCTGGTTTCACTGAAACACAGTGGGATAAATTCATCGTTCAAAGACATTAACAGTTTGTAATAAAAATTTGTAGCCAAAATAGATAAAGCTTATTTATATGGATATTTATGACCCGCATTCACCTCTCGGGCTCAGAGCCAAAGGATTTCCCTATACAGTGCATGCATACCTCAGGTTTAGATGCAAATATTACTTTTCTTGCTATCCTTCCATGATCTTCACTGCAATATTTTGGTCAAGTGACGAGAACTGCTATACAGATAGAAGGTACCTAGTCTTCATGAGCTTGACAAGATGGATACAGCAAACAAAAATGCATGCAAAGAAGGAAACTGCACGTCACAGAACTGAAGAGAATGAGACTCTACAGTTGAAAGAGCGAATCAATACAGATTGGTTTCCCAACTTTGTTGTCGTTGCTGTTGTTTCAGGACATATTCCATAGAACCCATATCAGCTCTTAAGTTCACAAGTGAACTTGAAGATCACCGTTCCACGCAACGGTCATGAATTTCAGTCATACATGCCGCAAATATGGATAAAAAAGTCATATTTGCATGGGAATTGTTAAGCAATCCTAACAGAGGTCATAATCCCTCATGTCGAACTTATAGTCGTTGGAATTCTGAACGCTAATGAAAGTGGTAGCAAGGTCACACGTACTCGCAAGCTGCGGAACCGGATACTAGCTGACTCCACGGAATATTGTTTTTCGAAGAGGTTTCAGAATATTTTCATACCATTTCTGGCGAGACGAATGGTGGAACAAACGTTTCCCTGCTTTTGCCAAAATTTTATAGACATTTGTTTTCTTGGTCTTCGTGTCGCCGTTGCAACCTTATATGCCCTTTAAGCAACTAGGTCATTTTATCACCTCTGCGTGAGAACGTTTGCATATCTGCAAGCTCGGCTCTCGGCTGTTACTTGTGTCTCCTCGAGCAGCTCAGTATTCGCATATAATCCCCAGGGTAGCTTCACCACTGCTATGTAGGTCTTTCACGTTATATTGGCGAGTATTTCTTTGTCACAGATATATCACTCATTTATTGCTCGACAGTTGAGGCAAACGACGGATCGATTTCGCAATTTTCTATTGGTTTGCTCGTTGAGTGTAGCATGAAATCGAGATCCAAAGGTTTAAAGC